AAAAAAAAAAAAAGGCCGGTGCAGTGGCTCATGCCTGTAATCCCAGCACTTCGGGAGGCCAAGGCAGGTAGATCACAAGGTCAGGAGTTCAAGGCTATCCTGGCTAACATGGTGAAACCCTCTCTCTACTAAAAATACAAAAATTAGCAGGGCATGGTGGCGGGCACCTGTAGTCCCAGCTACTTGGGAGGCTGAGGCAGGAGAATCGCTTGAACCCAGGAGGCAGAGGTTACAGTGAGCCAAGATGGTGCCACTGCACTCCAGCCTGGCGAGAGAGCGAGACTCTGTCTCAAGAAGATAACAAAATTTTAAAAAAGGCCCGTGAATCCTCTGTCCAGCGTCTGGTTGGTTTGTTCATTTTAGGAGTTGCGGGAGCTTCAGGACGAGAAGGCAGAGCTGCAGAAGATCTGCGAGGAGCAGGAGCAAGCCCTCCAGGAAATGGGCCTGCACCTCAGCCAGTAAGAACCCCACTCCCCTCGTCTGCCGCTGCAGGCACACCAGTCTACCCAGCACACCCCTCGGGCCGCAAACCTACCTCCTTTTGGCGAAAGGAGGGTGGGCCATTTAGGAGCCCAGTCCACTGTTCACGGATGAGCTCTCAGGAAGCCAGGCCTCAGGGGGACCAAGCACTGATTCCTGCTAACCCCCTGGGGATGTCAGTCAGCTCTTAGTTAATTCATCAAGCGCACTCATTCCTAGTGACCAGGACACTCCTATTCCTTAGCTTCGTATCCAGGGCCTTAGGGAACAGATGGGCAGTGAGAGGATTGCTTGGTCAGTCTACAGTCAGGCCAGAGGGAGCGTGGCGGGTTTGAGAATGGAAGCCTGGCCCGGTAGAGGTGCACTCACCGGCCTTGGGCAGCACAGCCCCCTTCCTTTGGGGAACTGGCCACGGCATCCGCCGGAGTCTGGCTGTCTGTCTGCTACAGATGCTGATGGGTGCAGACCCTGGTAGTTCTGCTCTCCTCTGACTTGACAGCGCCCCTCCTTGGTGTCCCAGTCTGGACACGTTGCTGTGGACACCTGGGCCTTGGGGTGGATCACACTTCAGATTGTGGAGCTTGTCCATTTGTGTGATGATTTTGCATTTTCAACATAGTGGGTAGCCTTTTCTCCTGGAGTCAGGCCTCACGGTTGCAAGTAACAGAAATCCAACTCAAAGTAGCTTAAGCAAAAGAAGCCATCAGGAATCGGTCTCTGTTTCCTACCTCTGCTATCCTGTTTACCTCACAGGTGGGTCTGGACCCTTCAGGGGCAAAACAGCCGTCAGCAAGGCCATCTGTCAGAGGAACAAAGTCCCTCTTCTTTCTGCATAGCTCCCAAGGTCACCCAAGGTTGACTCTGCTCCCGAGTACCCATGCCTGACGTAAGCACCATGACCAAGGAGATGGGGCTCACAGCCTCAGCACAGCCTGGGCTCAGGTCCAGCACTGCATATATTTGACCAGAAAAGGTCCACACATGGAGATCAAAATGAGAATCAGCTTGAAACACACTGGTGTATAGATGCGTGCAGCCTTAGAATTTTTCTTGCAGTCTGGAAAAGTGTAGAGTCTAGTAGTATTAAGAAAATAGGCCGGGTGTGGTGGCTCACGCCTGTAATCCCAGCACTTTGGGAGACCAAAGTAGGCAGATCACCTGAGGTCAGGAGTTCGAGGCCAGCCTGGCCAACATGGTGAAACCCCGTCTCTACTAAAAATACAAAAATTAGCCAGGCGTGGTGGTGGGCACCTGTAATCCCAGCTACTCGGGAGGCTGAGACAGTAGAATCACTTGAACCCGGGGGGCAGAGGTTGCAGTGAGCCACGATTGTGCCACTGCACTCCAGTCTGGGCGACAAAAGTGAGAATCCGTCTCAAAAAAAAAAAAAATAGCTGGTCAAGGAATCTGATGTCTGTGGTGGGAATGCGGTCTGCCCACTCCCAGATGCAGGTGCTGGCCACTCGCCATCTCTCCTGCGCCCCTTACCTTTCTACATTAGCCCATGGCCACTGCTCCCTCCCCTCCCACCCTCCGCCCTGCCTGCCACCCGCTCAGCTGAGTGCCCTGTGCTGCTCTCGTCTGGCCTGTCAACTTGCCATGCTCTGGCCCCTGTTCCTCCCCAACCCCCAGGGAGCTCCTTGAGCGACGCAAGGCCCAGTGTCTGTCCCCATGCTCAAGAGCACAGGCCAGCTGTGAGGGCATCCCAAGAGCACTCACCAGAAGCAGACGTGGAACAGAGGCGGGCGTGGAGCTGGCTTCTGGGGTTTGCAGCCAGTGTTTTCCTCTTTACATTGGATGGATGGCAAGGCAGTGTCACAGGTCCCCTCCTAGTGACCATAGATCTCGAAACTGTGGATGGTCTCTGATCTTTAAAATGTATCTTTGTGGCCGGGTGTGGTGGCTCATGCCTGTAATCCCAGCATTTTGGGAGGCCGAGGTGGGCATATCACCTGAGGTTGGGAGTTCGAGACCAGCCTGACCAACGTGGAGAAGCCCCGTCTCTACTAAAAATATAAAATTAGCCAGGCGTGCTGGAGTGCGCCTGTAATCCCAGCTACTCAGGAGGCTGAGGCAGGGGAATCGCTTGAACCTGGGAGGCAGAGGTTGCAGGGAGCCGAGATCGCACCATTGCACTCCAGCCTGGGCGACAAGAGTGAAACTCTGTCTCAAAAACAAACACAAAAATGTATTGTTGCACTTAGTGGCTGCCTGGCATTACCGGCTACCCCGGCTTCCAAATTCCAGTGTGAGCTGCCTGGCCACCAGTCCCTCCCAGCAAGTGCTGTGCGTGTGACAGCATCAGGTGTATGCAAACCCAGACAGGGCTACCTGAGGAGCTGCTTTTGTGCTCTCTCCTCTTCGCTTCTTCCTCTTGCAAGCCTGTGCCGGATGACAGAGACGGCAAAGCCTCTTCGCAGACCCTACATTAGCTACAGGAACAGTTTTCCAGTTTCATTATCTTGGGAACATCTGGATTCTTCCTAAATTGTGTTTCCCAGAGTTCTTGTATGTTCAGTTTGCCATCTTGACCTGGCTTCCCAAGGTCTGTCCATCTGGGCAGCCTCTTCTGATCCTGTCAATCTGCTGGCCTATTTCCTGTGTCTGCAGCCGGACCAGGAAGGGAAGGAGCTGCCTCCCAATCTTTAGTAAAAGCCACAGGGATTTTTCTAAATGCCCTGATGCTGTTTTCTAATCCCTCCCTTAGAAATCTAGCCTGTGTTTCCCAGAGACCTGCCATTTTCTCACTTTGATTAGTCTAATCTGATGATAGTTCAGACTGATCTCAGTTTTTAAGAAAGGCTCAGACCAGGCTGGGCGTGGGGGCTCACGCCTGTAATCCCAGCACTTTGGGAGGCCGAGGCAGGTGGATCACTTGAGATCAGGAGTTCAAGACCAGCCAGGCCAATATGGTGAAACCCCGTCTGTAGTAAAAGTACAAGAAAATAAGATGGGCATGGTGTCAGGCGCCTGTCATCCCATCTACTTGGGAAGCTGAGGCAGGAGAATCGCTTGAACCCAGGAAGCAGAGGTTGCAGTGAGCCAAGATCACACCACTGCACTGCAGCCTGGGCGACTCAGCAAGACTCCATCTCAAAAAAAAAAAAAAGAAAAACGCTTCGGCCTATAATCCCAGCACTTTGGGAGGCTAAGGCAGGCAGATCACTTGAGGTCAGGAGTTCAAGACCAGCCTGGGCAACATGGCAAAACCCCACCTCTACAAAAAAATACAAAAATTAGCCAGGCATGATGGCTCGCACCTGTAGTCCCAGCTACTTGGGAGAATCACTTGAGCCCAGGAGGTCAAGGCTGCAGTGAGCCATGATTGCATCACTGCATTCCAGCCTGGGCAATATAGCAAGACCCTGTCTCAAAAAAAAAAAAAAATCACACTGTTTCCCCAAATCGCACAAACTGCCTCATTTTATTTGGTTTACTTCTGCCAATTTAAACCGTGTTCAGTCCTGTCTCTTACGTAAACAAAGGAATTGTTCTGACACAAGAATGGAGCAAGAACAAATGGCTGTGCCCTCTGAGCCTGCCCCTTCCAGACAGCAGGCAGCAGACTGGAGGCCGGGGAGAGGCTGCAGACTCAGGTGTCTGCTGGGGACAGCGGGAGAGACCAGCGCAGAACAGGGCCAGGTCTTGGACTTCTGGCCTCAGGCCATCCTCTCACCTCAGCCTCCCTCAGAGTCTGTCTGAGCCCCTGCAGGCTAAGCAGTGTGTTCTTGTGCCGGATGCAGTCCCAGGCTCAGCCTCAGCCCCCAGCAGACGGGAGCCGGTGTGATGAGGCGACTCTGGGATTGTACAGGGGCGGAAGGCATTTTAACAACCATGTTCTGGGTCTCCTCACAAGTCCGGTATCTTCACAAAGCTAGTCATGAGAGCCAGCTGTGTTAGGGAGTCAGAGCCTCACTCTCTCTCACTGCTGTCAAATGGCCTTTTCTTCCTTAGGTCCAAGCTGAAGATGGAAGATATAAAAGAAGTGAACCAGGCACTGAAGGTACTGGCTTGCTAAGAACCACTTCTTCGCCGTCAGCTTGTGCTGATGGCCTGTGTGCTCGTACGTTTAAGTATCCCAAGAGTCAGGTGAGAGCGTGTGGTCGCAGCAGTGGTGGTGACATATTTACAGAGAAGCCAGACGCTGCTCAGAAACGTGTCCCTCAGCTGAGGGATGCTGACAGGTGGCAGGGCCAAAGCCGAACCTAGGTCTTCTGCCTCCAGTTCTTCTGCCATCAGCTGTGCTTTGAAAATAGGCCTGATGGGTCTTCCTAAAGGGGGAGGCAGGTGGCAGAGAGGAGAGACCCGCGGGTATCTTTAAACAGTGAAAAACAGGCCCTTCTGTTGAAGCGAGGGGCCAGAGGCCAGCCAGCCCCACTGCAGTGCCCTGTGCCATTGCTAAGGACCACTCAAGCCAAGCCCTGAGTTGGGCCAGGTTTCCACACCCTTGTGGGGAGGGCAGAATAACACATTCCACTGAAGAGCAGGAGCTTGCGGGTGGCCTGGTGCAGGTGCAGGTGCCAGGCTGAGCTGCAGGGCGGAGAGTGTGGGAGAGGAGGCAGACATTCAGGGGCACGGCAGCCTGGCCTGCAAGATGGCCTTGCCTGCAGGAGCGTCCACCCTTCGGCCTCAGCTGTGCCGTGGCAGCGATGCAAAAGCAGTCCCTTTCCACACTCTCCCACGTGGTGCAGAGCAGGGACCCTAATGTCTCTGGGCATCTAACTTCCAAGTGTCAGGTCAGGGGCAGCAACTAACAGCAGCCTGGACTTCTAGGTAACATCAGTTTCACAGTATCAGAGGGAGGGTAAAAATCATAAAACAGGACTCTAGAGCCGCCAGAGCTCTTTGATGTCAGGATGAACGTCCTGGGCACACACTGGCAGCCCCAAGGGTGTGTGACTCTAGCTCAGTCTATGAGGATCTGTCTGTCAGCAAGAAGATCACATCCAGCAGATGCTAATAGGCCAGAAAAGTACCTCATGCCTTTGACTCCTGGAACGTCCCAGTCCCTAAGCCTGAATACATCACAGGTGCTGCTTCTCCCTGAGAAAGCCCTCCCAAGAGCCACCTTTCACAGCCTTGGCCGCCTCCCCTGGGGAATGGAGTCCTGCTCCCCAGGGCTGTTCAGGAATCAAGGCTTTGGCCCGCAAGGAGAAGCGTTTCCTCAGGCCTGTGGGATGCAGTGCCCGCTGTCCATCACCACCTGTCTCTCCACAGGGATCAGCGTCAGCAGGTGTCCCAGTCTCCCTCAGATTTGGCCCTTCTGCCGCGCCTGCCAGTTCAGCTAGTCCCTTCGACCAGTGTCTCAGGCAGGGTCTAGGGTTGCAGGCACCAGAAGCTCACTCTGCTTACTTCAGCCAAAGGGAACTGATGGAAAGTGGGGGTGTGCCTGAGTGAGCGGATGCTGGAGACTGCCTTGAGGCCCCGGGGCAGCCTGCAGAGGCCAGGAGGTGAAGCGTGGAGCTAGGACATAGGAATCCTGGCTGCAGCCAGACCGGGAAAGGACCCGTTGATGACAGTCCTGTGAGGCCACATCTGATGGAGAAGAAACAGTGCCTCACTAGGAAACAGGTGCTATGAGGGGCAATGGATGCAGCCAGAACACAGCTACGCACTCATCAGGGGCTTAGACAGAAAATAGATTCTAGAATGTCCTTTCCTCCTCAGGGCCATGCCTGGCTGAAAGATGACGAAGCGACGCACTGTAGGCAGTGTGAGAAGGAGTTCTCCATTTCCCGGAGAAAGGTATGTGGGGCTCCACCCACCCTCCCAGTGCCCTGGGTCATTGCCCGCTGAGATTCCACTTTCTCTGGTTCCAGAAACCCGCATCACACCAGGCTCACTGCGCTGTGACTGCTCCCTGGCTGGCAGATGGGCGGCCCCGCCTCTCCTGCTTGCCTGTGCAGTTGGCTTTCCATCCCGGCACCCTCTTTCTGGGAGGCCTTGGCCAGTCACAGGCCCCTGGTCTCCAGCACATCCTTGCAGGAATTGACAATGATTTTGGGGGAGATAGGGCTCCTTGTGCCGAGCTGCTCTAGGGGATTGTCACTGAAAATTCTCTGTGTGCGGCAGGACTGAAATCTGGCCCAACTTAGGCAAAAACAGAATCTATGGGGGAACCTACAGGGCAGCAGGTCACCAAAAATCACTGGTGATCTAGGCAGGGTGCTTGTCCCTGTCTTTTAGGTTCTGGAAACAAGGTCCTAGGCTCACCCTTGGGTCTAGGGTTACCAGGGCCTTATTAATAGCCTCACCAAGACCAGCTGGGTAGGGGAAGAGTTGGATATAAGCAAAACTGGGAGCTAAAGGAAACACAGCCACCGCCATGTTCTGTCTGTTCCCATCAACAGCCTAGCTCTGGAAAAGAGGAAGCCTCAGCCACCCCCACTCCCCACCCCGAGTTTCAGGCAGTGCCTTGCAGTAAGCTCAGAGCTAGAAACCACGGCCTGAGGCTGCCTGAGATCACGTATGTCTACAAGGCCTGGCTGTTCCCACCTGTGGAACCACAAAAGCGGAGGCTGCACAGGTGCTCATCTCGGTGTCTTCTCAGGCACCCAGGGAGCCTGTTTAGAAAGGGGAAGACCCACTCCCACCCCCTTGGAATGCAGCAAAGAGAACAAACCAGACTCTTCCCATAGCTGGCTGGCTTAATGATGAAGTACAGCAAAAGCAAACTTCTTGTCTTAAGACCCTTAGGCCGGGCGTGGTGGCTCACGCCTGTAATCCCAGCACTTTGGGAGGCCGAGGTGGGCGGATCACAAGGTCAGGAGATCAAGACCATCCTGGCTAACACCGTGAACCCCGTCTCTACTAAAAATACAAAAGATTAGCTGGGCGTGATGGTGGGCGCCTGTAGTCCCAGCTACTCGGGAGGCTGAGGCATGAGAATCGTGTGAACCCGGGAGGTGGGGCTTGCAGTGAGCCCAGATCATGCCACTGCACTCCAGCCTGGGCGACAGAGCGAGACTCTGTCTCAAATTTAAAAAAAAAAAAAAACCTTTGCACACAGCCCTCACCACTCCACAGAAACATAACCCATTCCAGGCCGGGCGCGGTGGCTCACGCCTGTAATCCCAGCACTTTGGGAGGCCGAGGCGGGCAGATCATGAGGTCAGGAGATCGAGACCATCCTGGCTAACACGGTGAAACCCCGTCTCTAATAAAAATACAAAAATCAGCCGGGCGCGGTGGCGGGTGCCTGTAGTCCCAGCTACTCCGGAGGCCAAGGCAGGAGAAGGGCGTGAACCCGGGAGGCGGAGCTTGCAGGGAGTGGAGATCACACCACCGCACTCCAGCCTGGGCGACAGAGCGAGACTCCGTCTCAGGAAAAAAAAAAAAAAAAAAAACCCATTCCAAACAAATGCGCTTCTGGGTTAGGAAGCAGGGAGGGTGTGTGGATGGCTTTTCCCTGGGTGTCCTGAGACTGCCTTCTTCCTGTCCTCTAGCACCACTGCCGGAACTGTGGCCACATCTTCTGCAACACCTGCTCCAGCAACGAGCTGGCCCTGCCCTCCTACCCCAAGCCAGTGCGAGTGTGCGACGGCTGCCACACCCTGCTCCTGCAGCGCTGCTCCTCCACGGCCTCCTGAGCGTCCGTCCTCGGGAGCACAGCCTCGCGGACAGCGCCAAACCCTGTGGGTCTCCAGGGGCTTGGGAATTGTGTTCTTTCCCAAGAGAATCGAAGGAAAGAATCAAATTTCTCGCCCGGCCACTGGCACTCCAGAAGACAGCGTGCCAGAACCAGCAGCTCTCACCGTGCCGTGATTCGCTCGGAATTAACTCCTCTGGATGGAAACTTCCATCTTACGGCTCTGGTTCAGATACAACGTCATGATTTTGCTACTATCATTTTTCACTTTTCAAAGAATTCAACCTGTTTTACAGCAGTTCAGTTCTGCTAGTGAGTAGTTTCCCTCTCCCACCTCCCTTCTGAAAACCTGACTCGTGTACAGCGTTTGACACACATGGGGTCTGTCTGTGCCTTCTCTGCTTCAGTCAAGAAATCTGCCATTTCATGCCCTTGTGACTGCCTATCGTTGGTCCGGCAATAAAATCATTTATTTTTCACTCTGGCGCATGCAGAAGCTCCTGTCAACTTCCAAAGAGCCACCGCACCGGAGGAGGCCTCTGCACCCCTCGTGCCCGAGCCCAGTGTGAGCAAGAGGCCGCCGGTGCTGCCCCAGAGCCTGCAGGGCTGTGCCTGGTGAGCCAAGGGCAGTTTGCAGGGGCAGCCTGCCACCAACAGGCAGAGGGAGTGACCCCAAGCCTGTCACCAAAGTGCAAGAGCAGTTCACATACATGATTGGGAGTTGGACAGGTTACAGATGGAGACACCTGTGGAAAAGCACTTGGCAGGCAGTCATTTTTTACATTTCAAATGCAGTGCTAGGACTGGCTTCCAGCCCCTCCCTCGGAGGCCCCTACCCCCAAACAGCCAATGGCCTGGGGCTCTCTTCAAGTCCAGACAGCCAACACTCAGTCTTCCAGGCCTCATCCTTCACCTTTTATACGTACACCTTGTCCAGGACCCTACCTTCCCTTCCCGCAGGCTCCCTACCCTCACCAAATCCAGGCCTCAGGATCGCACCCCTCCTCTGGGCTCCCCCACGACCTGGTCAGCCCTGGTAGATGCTTGCATGGCACCCTCGACCGAGTTTCCTCCTCTGCCGCTCCCTCCCTCCCTCCAACCGCTCTCAAGATGGAAAAGGTGGGAGCTTGGGCAAGGCTCAAAGATTCACCCACCATCCTATACAGCTTAGGACTGTGCGGCCAGACTTCAAGACAAGGTCTGCCCTGTTCCAAAGCCATGTCCTAGCAGGTTTCCAACCCTGTTAGGGAAGCCCAGTGGCAGCCCTCCCCTTCCCTCACCTCACCGTAGCAGCTGCCATCTCATACAGGGCCAAACTTTGAGAGAAAACTGCCTCTCACTACCCCTAACTGGCATATACGACATCTGTGCCTTTTCAGTACACCCAGTGTGGACCCCTAACGTGCTGGGCAGCCTTAGGCAAGTGGGTTCACTTGAGTCTTAGCTTTCATCTGCACACACAAAAGCACAATACTCCATCCCTCCCCTACTACCTCAAGTCAGTTCTGGCAGCTCAGTATAAAAACATGCAGGAGGTTCCCACCTCTGTGCCTGACACTTGTGTTTAAGTGAAATTTATCACACCCATTTTCAAAGTTGGCAATATTTGGTCAAGATAACTTCCCTACTCACAAATTCAAACACATTCTAAGCCCTAACTCTGGCATCTCCAGTCCCTGGTCTGGCACCATACCACCTTTACCCAGCCTGAGAAACGAAGGACAGATGTTCTAAGGCAGCACTTCCCAAGTCAACTGAGGTAGGGGTGAGTGGTCAGGATTTTGTTTAAAATGCAGATTCCAACTCACAAGGTCAGGAGGTTAATTAAGTCACTGCAAACAAGCTATGGAGCACAAGATTCCAAAGAACCATAATGCGTCTAGACGCCTTTTTTTTGAAACAGGAATTTCTCTCTCGTCGCCCAGACTAGAATACAATGACGCGATCTTGGCTCACTGCAACCTCTGCCTCCCGGGTTCAAGCAATTCTCCCCTGCCTCAGTAGCTGGTATTGCAGGTATGCACCACCACGCCCAGCTAATTTTTGTATTTTTTAGTAGAGACAGGGTTTCCCCATGTTGGCCAGGCTGGTCTCGAACTCCTGACCTCAGGTGATCTGCCCACCTCAGCCTCCCAAAGTGTTGAAACTACAGGCGTTAGCCACTGCCCCTGGTCTAGACTAGCCATATGGCTCTGGATTTAGTTTAACCTTACTCCAAGTGTCTAGTTCTAGTCCCTTCTCTAACAGGGCAAGCTTTATCCCTAAATGTACCACAGTTACCTCAGGACCCAGAGAAGGAACCCTCAATCCTTCTCAATAATGGGCCTCAGTACCAAACTATTAACACAAGATCTCAAGGGCAGTAACCAGGCTTTAGAACACAGTTCAGCAACTCTCAACACTGCCTTCCCCCCGGACAACTGCTGCTCTCTCTAGACCTGCCAAAGACAAAACCAACGATACATACTCCAGACCCTTCCCTCTGCTGGTGTCCGGTCCTGATGGGGCAACCTGGTAGAGCAAGCAAGGGAGAATCTGCGAAGCCCTCCCTCCATGTCTCCTGCACGCACTGCTCCTGTGGGCAGATGGTTAGAAATGACCGATACTAAGCCACTCTGTCCAACCTGCCTAGCCCTACCCCAACAAACTCAAGAGAAAGCTTATCCACACTTTGCTTTAAAGGGCACAAGCCTATCTGACAGCCTAGCTCAGACGCTACATTTACACTCTCATTTCATTATCAGGGACTTGAATCTAATGGGATGGGAGTAGCTGCCGGACCCCTCAGCATCTACTGAAGGAACTCTGGGACCAGACTTTTCAGGACTGCTTTTCTAATACCCAACCTTGTATTATTAATGTGAATAGACTCTCCCTTAGATACCTAACCTTGTTTTAATATGAATAGACTCTCCCTTAGCTGAGACTCCATTTGGCTCCTTCATTTACAAGACATCAAGGGCTCCTCACCCACCCACTTCCTCGAGGACTTAACTTGTGCAAGCTCTCAGCCTATCAGAGTGCAATTAACCAATAAGGTGCTGAAGCAAGCAGTTCCCAGCAATTTACTCGGAGATGGTACCATAAAGCCCCATTTGTCCCATAGGTAACGCCAGAGCCCCCACGCCTATCGCCTTGTGATGAATTTAAAGCCCCTGCACCTGGAACTGTTTGTTTTCCTGTAACCATTTGTCTTTTCAACTTTTTTGTCTGTTTTTCTTCTGTAAGATTGCTGCAGCTAGAATCTCCCTCCCCTCTCTAAACAAAGCATTAAAGAAAATCTAGCCCCTTCTTTGGAGAGAATTTCGTGCCTTAGCAGTCTCTCGTTTGCCGGCTAACAAAGGACTCCTGAATTCATCTCAAAAGTGTGGCGTTTCTAACTCGCTCAGGTACACTTTAAAGCAGCTTGAATACTTCCTAGCATCATGCTGGAGCTCTGAACTACCGAAACGGGGATATGTTTCGAGTTCATTTAAACTAGTCACGTTAGCTCTCAATCACTACCTATCACTCTACCCAGATTTACATGTAATTCTGCTTCCAAGTAGAATCGATTTTTAGGAATGAGCCAAAAATATAAAAGTTCAAAACCTCAATTTGAAAAACCATCTGTGAAGGCTAGGAACAGTGGCTCAAACCTATAATCCCAGCACTTTGGGAGGCTGAGGTGGGCAGATCACATGAGGTCAGGAGTTGGAGATCAGACTGGCCAACATTGTGAAACCCCGTTGTCTACTAAAAATACAAAAAAATTAGCCTGGAGTGGTGGCGGCACCTGTAACCCCAGCTACTTGGGAGGCTGAGGCAGGAGAATGGCTTCAGCCCGCAAGGTGGAGGCTGCAGGTGAGCTGAGATCACGCCACTGCAATCCAGCCTGAGACGACTAAGACTCCGCCTCAAAACAAACAAACAAAAAAACCACCACCCCTGAGCTAGAAGAAACCCAGGTATTCATCATAACCTCCCTTGCCTCCAGCACCTTCCCAGCCAAGCATGAAGGCCTCCTAGACATGCAGGCCATGCAGTGAGGGCACTGGCACCTCCCCCTTCGCTTTGTGCAAGTGCTTAACAAGTTATAGGCAAGTTCAGATCAGGTCCTGTGCAGCCAAATGACATACAGCCCTTCCACAAGGGCCCCAAAGACGAGTTTACCTTCAGTTGCACTGGAGGGAAGTCTGAAGACATCTACACAACAGCCTCAACTGCCAGGCCTCTCTGCCACAGCCAGAGATGTGGCCCTAGATGTGGCCCCAGGTGGGCACAGAGCACCGAGACTCAGTCCACATGACACTGAAGCACAGACAAGACAGAGTGCAGTTTTTAAAAGGAGGATTTATTTGACAAGTTTCACTTAGCGCAATATACCTAAAAGGAAATCACAATACAATGAAAGATTTAAATCAAGGCCTCAGAATTTCATACAAACACCAAGACCAAAATCCTAAAGTACTGGTATTGCGTCTCAAAATTTTCCCATTAACTTAAAAAAAAAAAAAAGAAAAAAAAGCTTAAACTTACGTGCCTTACAGGTTATTAAATGAAACTAGAATTAACGAACATGCCAAAATGTTTCACTTTTAATTGTAGACATAGCTCCTATATTGAGTTTTACAAAAAAATAAAAGCATGTCTTTCAACATGCATCCAAACAGTGTTCAATGTAACGTGGCAAAGGGCAACATTTAACATAATTCAACTGCTTTTACCTAAATACGCTTACTGCTTAAGTACACCCTATAACTAACTTGAGAAAAGCTGGAACTTAAGTTTAACAGTTATAGTTTACTCAGCTTCACTGTTACATCCTAGATTGAGTATTGTATTCAAAAATACTGGGCCTTAAGTCTTCATAACAATCCTGATTTCCACTTAGAGTAAGCATAAATCACAAGCTTGTATTGCAGAAACTGTTAAACTGAAGTTTTTTTTCTTAAAAAAAAAAAAAAAAAAAAAAAACCTTAAAAGAGTCAGTGATCAGGACAGATCAATTACATTCCCCATCCACCACTCATACTGGACATGCTAGACATCCCTCCCATTCCGTTCACGCCCATAGATGCACGGCTTCCACTACTGTAGTAGCTGCTGTTCATTGCTCCTTGGTTACCTGCAAAGAGATCAATTTGACAAGTTAGGAGTAATGTCAGACTACCAGTCAAATAAAATATAGTATTCCAAGAAAAAGTTTAAAAAGTATACGAGTACAAATGGCTGCTGTCCAAGTGGCGAGACGCATGTTTGGGAAAGGGGAATCCCGACTCCAAACAAGCCTCAATTAACCCCTTTTCTCTGCAGTACCAACTTGCCAGACTCTTGTGCTACCATTTTAACGGATTCTTCAGGATCAACATGAAAAATTAAGTTTAAAGGAAAACTAGTGTTTTTCAAAAATTGCAAAATTACTTCGTATTTTTAAAGCTAAACAAGGCATTTTTTAAAAAAATTTACCATAAACATTCACAATGTGTCCCTCGAATGGCATTTGAGAAAAGGGAGCACAGGGGAAGTCTCTTGCTTTTCCTATTCACGGTGGGCAGGAAGTGAGACAACCAAGGTGAACTAAAGGCAACTCACTGTGCCCAAATGGCAGCCTCCATGGAGTTAAGTCAGAGCCATTGACTGCTATAGAAAGTATTATTACAACATATCAGTATTTGCTATTGGGAATTTAAATTATATTTTTTGAGAAAATATTTACCTATGCAATGTTTGATTGAAAATCACTGGAGTTTTCCTGTAAAACTTGGTCTGCAAAAGGATTTTGTAGGGTAAGACTATAATACCAAAATCACCATTCTTTAGACCAATTGAAAAAAAATAAATAAAACCAATCCTAGGTTAACTAATAAATACGATCCTGAACCCAACCACCATTCTACTATTCCAAATTCTCCCTCCATCTAAAATTGATGTACTGCTAACCAAAAGACAAAAAAGCGAACAACTTTATTTAATGTTTTAATAAATGGAGGCAGATATTTTCTGGCTCGACAGTATTCTAAAGTTGCAATGACTAGTTTTTTATTCACAGAACACTTCCCCCTCCCAAATGATTGTTTCTGAAAATTAAGCTAGTAAAAAGTTACATTTGGATTGAAAGCATACATTTAATAACCCAATTTCACCAAAAAGGAGCCTGCACCTTCCCAACTAAAGAAACCTGCCTAAAACTTAATTCTAAGTATATTAAAAAAACAGGCTTACCGTATCCACTCATGCTGCTCTGGCCACCATAGCCGCCTCCGTAACCTCCACTCAGCTGCTGGCTGGCTGGGCCACCGTAACTGGACTGGTTTGCTGTTAAGTTAAGAAAACTTTAGAACCTTGTTCCTTACATAATGTGGTACCTGGTGGTACCGGGCTTGTAATTCTATATCTATATTTTCCAGTCTTGATCTTATATTACTATAACCCTCTGCCTCCTTCTGCCTACTGTCTATAACCGGGCTACCCTTCTATCCATCATTTGAGCTATTCAAATATTTATAAACCAAAGTGCTAACGGTCTATACATCAGCAGGACTAAAACCCACAAGATTCCCTAAGTAGAGGCATTTTGTGAAGATCTTATGAAACTGCCTGACTAGATTTAGTGGGGTTCCCCCTTAGATATATCAAAGGCACGTCAATACACCTAATTATGCCCACATTTATCTTAATCCTATTTTGCTATTTAAACTTTATACTCAGAAAATTTAAGAAGTTTCACTCCGTAGTCCCCTCCCCCAAGAGTACTTAAATCTAATTTGAATTATCTATCCTAAGGAACTTCATAACACAAAGATTTAAGTAAGCCAGATACAAAATTCAAATATCAAGAAACTGCTTTCTTTGCCTAAGTTTGTTATGCTAAACTTATTAAATAAATAGATTAACAACTTATAATTGACTTATACAGATATAAACGTTTTGGTTTTTAAAAAAACTAACGATATTTACACAAGCCCATGCCTCCCATCATTTGGCTACCATAAGCACCACCGCTTGCTCCTGCTGTAGAATTCAAGAAGAGTTCTACATATCTGTGTTCTGAAATGAGAGAAAAGGCATACAAGGTTAGCTTAAAAAAAGACACTAAAGTGATATTTACACAAACCCATGCCTCCTAGCATTTGGCTACCGTAAGCACCACCGCTTGCTCCTGCTGTAGAATTCAAGAAGAGTTCTACATATCTGTGTTCTGAAATGAGAAAAAAAAAGTTTGAAAATGTTTGTTGGTGAAACACAACAGGATAAGCACTTTTATAAAGTTTTTAAACAAGCAGATCTGTGAACTTCAAATACCTTGGCAAAGAAAATTCTAGCTACTTCTCTTAGGTGATCTACTTTAACTCCAATATCTAGCCTTTACATATTCATCTATGTTGTCAATTAAGGATATACACTTCAAGATGTGCGTATCACAAATCCGTTATACTAATTTTTAAAACCCAAACCTTCTTCAACCCACTGCCCCCCATCCCCCAAGAATTAATCTATCACTGGAGAGGAAACTTCTCATATATCCTTATTTTTCCATTTCTCTATTGTAAATGTCAATCACACAATCACCTGTTAAGAGCCCACAAACGCTCAATCACACTTACGCATATTTGCTTTGTCTTTTGACATAGCTGCCACGGCATCTTCATGAGTTGCAAACTCGACATCTGCTTCACCAGTTACTCTGCCATCAGGACCAATTTCAATGTGTACTCTCACAGGATTGAGTGGTGAAAAAAACTACAACACAAGGCATTTCAAAGAATTAAATCAACTTTCTAATGTTACAAAATAAAACTACAATTTCTAACACAGTGCTCACATTTATAGAGTAAGGCTCAGACTTTTACTGCCATACTGAAATACTGACTTGTGAGTTCATTCTACACTTACATTATAAATGTCATTCTCAGTAGCTCTGTAAGGTAATCCACGCATGTGTACACAGTGTCCTGTTGTGCTCTGGAAAGTAGAGCCACCATCCCCGTACCTGTGATCAGACATTCCTGAAAAACAGTAATTGAGGTCTAGATGGACAAGAGTGTAAGCATCCTTCAACTGAGAAATTCAATTCTTACCTTACCTCTTCCAAATCTATCTGACCCAAATCCATAGCCATCATTATAGCCATTGTAATCGTCATAGCCTCCATAGCCTGAAAGACAAAGTACAATCCATCAAACAAAACACCTAAACAAAGGAACAGACTACTTGCTAAACCCTGGGAATCCTCACGTACCTCCACCGTAAGCACCGCGCCTCATCCTCTCAAAGCCAGCTCCTCTGCCAATGCTGTTATACCCTCTGCCAGCCCCAGGTCTGTCATAGGGACCTGGCCGCTGCATGGCCATAAGCTTTCGTGGTGGATCATAATGAGTTCTAACTTCAGCTCTACTGCTCTTAAAGATCTCAATATACCTAAAGCATCGTTCATAAGGAAGGGGTAGGGAGGGGAGAGAAAACATTAGTGCATTTTATACAGGTATTTAGTTACACAAGAAATACAATCTTAGTCATAGCCATGAAACTGACTAATATTTAAAGCCAGATTTCTTATATTTGCATAGGCAATGACCAGAAACTCACACAATAAATAGTAAGACAAGGTAAACTTTACAGGAAAAAAACACTCACTCCTCCTGAGGCAGAGCCCAACCTTAGGGGTAGAGAGGAGTACTGTAAATAAACGTTCTAGGAGGGAAATAATTCCACTCAACTTTCAACATTTCAAGTCTTAAATCCATTGGCAGCATGTATAGCAAGTGGGCTAAAAAGCCAGCCTCCACCAACAGTCTAGCCCACACTACACACTTCCTTTCGCCAATAAATACCCCAGCCTATGCTTTTAGTAAGAATCAGCATAGGTAAGCGCATGCTTCAATGAAAAATAGTCACAAGCAAAGAGAATAAAACCTTTTGTGACAATTTCTTGAAAGCTATGCTTATTAATACTATGCAGAATATTTATATACAGCAAGAAAAAGTTTGTTGCATTTCAACTTTAAAAACAAGATCAGAAAGTATCACATTTTCTTATGGTAATATTAATTTACTCTAGGTGGGTGTTATTACAGCTAAAGCCAGGTTTGCATTAATTTTTTAAAGCCATAGTCTCTCAACTCTATTGATTGGGGTTAATAAGACTCACAAAATTGTCAAGTAGACCAATTAACTAGGGACAAATTTTAAACCTAAAATTTAGTTTGTGTGTAACATGGGACTGACACAAGAAAAGTCTGGAAATCATGGCAAAACATCAATCACCTAGGACTACAAAACATTAATTTCTTCTTTTAAGCAGAGAGAATATGGATTTAATTGTTTACCATAAGAAAAGTGACATATCCAACCAACCATCCATCCCCACCTGTGCCCTATTCTTTCCTTGTGTTTCTTTAGAGCCTTTTCAGCTATTTCCTGTGAAGCAAACTGCACGAAGGCCTCCCCCGTACTCCTCCCCTGGAAGTCCACCGGCAATGTTATCCCATTTGGCACGATTTCCAACCCTTCAACCCAAGGACAAATAACCCCAGTAGGGGGGCAATATTAACATCACAAGCCCAGAAATGATTCTTCTTATAGCTTTAAATAAACCAGAACTTTTAACTTTAGGTGAATGGTATGCTTTCAACAAGTACTCTTTAAATATGCATTGCAATAATATGAAGTTCCATTATTACCAAGTATAACTATTCTTAACACACCCATGGTACAGTATAAGTTAAAAAAAAAACTTGCTGAACGCAGGATGCATTAAGAATTCAACAACTTAAGAACACATATCTATGCAACTTAATGTTGAGAATTATACAAGAATTCAATTAAGTTTTAAGCATTAAATAACAGTTTTACTAAATTCAAAACACCTTTTACCTCATTTTATATTTCAATGCTTTAAGTTATTGGAACTTCAAGTCTTTAAAAAGGTACACATTTAAACATTTCATATAAAAACTGAAACATTAAATTATAATTGACAAACATAACAATCTAAACTTTCAACAAAACTGATCTACACAGCACAATCATGCATGCTTATGCTCTAACAGTAGTTATGATTCACTTCTGGAAATTCCGTCTATGAAAAATCCTTTCCGTGGATACATTCCCAAGCTTACAAAAAGGACTTAAAGCACTTTCCTAGAAGATATGAAATTATGTTCATATTTAACGTTGACAGATAGCATTCAATTCTCACCAATTTAGAGTAAAAACAAAACAAGACTTGATTTTTAAAACTCTTGACATTAGGACTTGATACACATATAAATTTTTAACATACTACACTAAACCATGAAAGGATTTCTTGCTTCCAGTGTATCACATCATAAATATTAATATTTAAAATATACGATATCTAACATTGTTAAACATGCAATCTTATCAGCTCTTCAGCATAAAAACATTCAAATACTTTAGGCCCAGGAACAATTTCAAAACACTTTGTTATTTCAGATACTGAGACTACTGAGACTACAAGCATTCAAACTACTCTCACTACATCTGATTTTCAGTAAGTTTATATCACACTGGTTAAACCAAGTCTTTCATAAATCGACTTCTGCATTAAAGAGAATTAGACCATTCTGGTCACATGACCCAAATGTGTCTCTTGCAACAACACAGACACTTGCCATAATTTACAACAACCTAATTCGTCACACTAATCTGATGTTAAGGGATCTTACCTTTAACGTGAAGTACTTAGCTGGACACCAATGTGAGGAAAAGCAGTTAAGCTGTTGAGGGCAATCCTCAATGAAAGATCTACTCTGAACTATAATACTAAATATAGGCAAAGTTAACATTTTGGAAGTACTTCATTTCCACCTTTAAGATGGGCTTAAATTATTTGAAGGTCTCTAGGAAGAAAACATTAATTCATTGGCAATTTACACAACCTATTGAAATACCTAACCTACTCAACTTTAAGGTCTATTAAATCACCTTGCAGAAGCTAGCCAAAACTCACTGCTCATCAACAAACATGACTACATACCTGAGAAGAACTGAACAATTTCTTCCTTGCTACATCCAAAGGGAAGTCCTCTAAGCCGTACAAAGCCATCATTGGCCGTGTCAGGACTATTTGGACCAGTATGCTTCAACACCCAATCCATTTCAACGTTGTTTGACTTGAATACTGAAAGAGGTGCTTAGAATTAGTCACTTTTGGAAAATTAGGTAACAAAGTTCAGACTTCCTGGGTCTTTAGATAAGCTAGGAAGAGCTGCCACAAACTCCCTTAGATGACCATTTCCATGCAGTCAAATACCTAAAATTCAGAAGGGGTAAGACCTCTATTGTTTAATGCTTTATTTACTGTAACTAGGGCAATGTAAATCAAACCTTCAACATATCTGTGTCCCATAGTTTCTCTGTCTTTTTTCAGGGCCAATTTGACTTCATCTTCTGATTCAAGTTCAACAAAAGCCTCGCCACTTGGTCTGCCTTCTCTGGTGTAGATGAAACGAATACCTTGAGCCCCATTTTGAATTTTGCAGTCTGGAAAGAAAACAACCGTTAATACGGAATTTAAAACCTAAAACCACCTCTGGGTGACACAGATGAAATGTCTATTCCATGTCCCCACTACAAATTACGTAACTTGTGAAGCCTGCATATAATGACGATATTACCAACTCCTGGAACTCCAATAAAAAAAAAAAAACCTCATTCCCAAGGTGATGTATTTCCAACCCATCAACAACATACAATATTCAAAGCAGTTTCAGAATGAATTTCTCTCTTAAGTCCCTGCTACTTATGTCCACATCACACATCTTTTATCAATTTCTCAGAACATTATCAAGCCTGGACTTTGTGACTTTATGGCAAACCTACTTCGTTGCGGGTTGCTTTGGTCTGGTCTGGCGCGTTTGTCAGTTTTACCTTACCAGCAGCCACATTACGGTTTCTCATTCAAATCCAAATTACAGGCCCAATACTCACCTGAAAGGGGATCAGTGTTAGCAAGCTAAAATGCTCCAAGTTGCACAGCTGAAGCCAAACCCAGCGTTGCCCCCTGCAAGGTGGCTTCCAGTGTACTTGGTTCTTGTTTTACAGGTCGTTTTCCGTTACCAATGCTAAATTCAGATAGTAAGTCAACACTACAAACGTCTTGCCAAAAGCTGTCAATTTCATACAAGTAGAATTTTATCAGTCTAATTTTTCCCAGTCTAATAATGGGAACAAGGACATTCTGATAGAAAATATTCAGGAAACCTAGGGACTGCAAAAACACTTCCCTGGGTGTCAGTGTTTTCAATTGTATAGTCAGCCAAATTAAGAACTAGATGAGCAAACACTCTACAATTACCAAATCTTGATTAGGAAAACTGAAATTAAGACGTGACATTTTAACTTTCCGAAGAATGCTCCTTTTCAAGGAAACACCAGAACTGGAAACAAGAGATTACACTTCAAGATACTGAAAAACATTACTATTATTGGTCTAATTACTCGGCAATTCTCTCGAGATTGAGGAGGAAACCCACCTATGCCAATTCATCTTTTCGCAAAAAGACACCCGGGCCAGGCGCGGTGGCTCACGCCTGTAATCCCAGCATTTTGGGAAACCGAGATGGGCTGATCACTTGAGGTCCAGAGGTTCGAGACCAGCCTGGCCAACATGGTGAAACCCCGTCTCTACTAAAAAAACAAAAATTAGCCGGGCGTGGTGGTGCGCGCCTCTAGTCCCAGCTCCTCGGGAGACTGAGGCAGGAGACTCGCTTGAACCCAGGAGGCGGAGGCTGCAGTGAGCCGAGATCGCGCCACTGCACTCCAGCCTGGGTGACACAGACTCCCAACACAAAGGGAAAAGAAAAAACGACATCCATAAAAGAAAAGTTGGTGTTCAAAGGTAGTCAAGAAATCAAAGAGTCTGCCAGATCTGCCGCACTCCCCCCCCAAGAGCCAGGAGGACGGGCGGGGCTTTCGAAAATTCCATTGCGTAACCGCGGCCGGCCGGGCGCGAGCCACACGGCGGAGAG